ATTTATTTTCTTCAGTAAGAGAAAAGATGTAAGTCCCTTTGAGCAAAGTATGCCTGATATATATCACAATATTTATTTTTGGTAGAGTAATGGATCGGTCTTCAGGGAAAGCTAGAGAAAAAGCATTTCTTGAGCTTGGATGTAAATCAGTCACTCCAAAAACCGCAGGGGAATCTATATTCTTACCCCTCTGCTAACTACAGTGTGAACTACACAGCTGACTTTTAAAAGTCATTGTTTCTAGACCTAACACTAACGACAGAGGTAAGGATGTGAGTCCCAACAAACAACTGCTCCTGAAATGTCTGCACCTAATTCCCCCAAATGATAGTGCAATGCAAAATAAGAGATCCAGCCGACCTGTGGGTGTGAGTTGCCCACCTGGTAGGGACAAGGTCTAAGCTTTACACACAGTACTCCATTCCAAGGAAGAAGGATGAGGTGTGGCTGGGCTTAGGATGTAAGGGTCTCCCAAAGGACCTGTCCAGTTACTATGGGCCAGACTTCCTATCTACATGAAATGTATCATAGAGCAGGACAAGAGTGAAACTGAAGGACAGGGAGAAGAAAAGATCTTCAATGAATCTGCAACTTAAACAGAGCTCTTCAAAGGAAAGAGTGTTCCTAATATTAATTACCCTGAACATCTCACAGGCTCAGATTCACATGGTACAAAGAACACAAAGCCCTTTAATTTTCCTACCCCTCCATGGCCCTAGTGGTGATAAATCAGATATACAGGAAAACCACACATGACTAACGAACCAGCCCATTAATGGCGAGCAAAGATCATTTGCCAAGATGACTTATTCAGACATAGTCACATATCATAACCAGCGATATCCTGGAGGCTTAACGCAGCAAGCATAGAAAGCAAGAGCTGGGGCCCTCCCTGCCAAGTTTCAGGCACTCCAGGGCAACTCGGGCATCCTCCAGATGCCTGCTATCCAGGCATGAAAAGACTTTATTCATGGCTGCCACCTCCCCACTCTCTTCAAGGTAGACTACTTGCACTTGGAAAATTACTGCAACTTCTAAAAGGCCTCTCGGGTCACGGAGCTGCTAAGTCCCCAGCCTTGCCATGGCCCCTACGCTGACACTCTTAGAATTGCAGGTACCCTCAGGAAGAAGACCCAACTTTTGCCACCAGCAACTTTAACTGTTAGTTTATAGATCTCTGCTGTAGCCACTCATTTAAGTAACTGAGTTCCAACTAGGTGTCAGACCCTATTCTAGGTGCTTGGGCAGATCCATAAACAAAACAGTAAACAGGCGGGAGTGAGGGAAAGACAAGGGTCCCTTAAATGCCAGTCCCTTTGTTTTATCAGGAAAACAGTCCAGTGATAGACAGGAGTTTTTCTTTGAGGTCAGAGTTGATGGCATGACTAGGTCTTGAACCCAGGCTGGATTCTTAGCAGGACCGCCACATTCGGTGGTGCATAAGCGGGCTGGACAGAGAGGATGGGGATGAAATTCAACCCATGTTCTGCCTATGGACCAGGGGAAGCTCCATTCCAATACTACATTCTCACTGTCTCAGACTTCCCAGTTGCCTTTAACAAAAGCCCCCTAAACTGGAAGGGACAACTGAGGTTCCCCAGATTGGCAACCAACCATCAGCAGCAGGACCCAGGAGAGTGCGAACCCTTTCACTGAGATGTAACCCTGACAAGCTACACACCCCCCCAGCGCTTGTTATGAGTGAGAAAATCTGTTGAACTCGAATCTGTAAGGAATCCACCAATGGCAAAGCTCCCCTGTAATTAATGATTATGACAATAATTTCCTATATCATCTTCAGATCTGGAAGAGAAGGCTGCTAGCAAGCTGTTTTACATTCTCGCCAACTCCTTTACTCTTCATGATCCCAGGCTGAGGAGTTGTCACTGTTCAATCCCATCTCTAAAGTCCCATCTGGGGGTGCTGGGGTGTCCAACTCTTGATTTGGGCTGTCACGATCTGATAGGTTGTGAGATCGAGCCCAGCGTGGGAGCTTGCTTTATCTATTCTTGACTAAGTGCCAGGGATGCAACAGTGAATACCACCACAATCGTCAACAACAGTACGCCATTGTCACCTCATGGAACTAACTAGCACATTGCAAACAGAGCTGGGAAAAGCCCAACTGCTAAGGAGTCCCTGACCAGACTGGCAGTCTACTTAGGGACTGCGTCTGGAAGCAAGGGTGTATGCGACACTCCCTCACTCCATTTTACAGAAGGAAAAATAAGGTCCAGGAATGAGAGCAGGTAGCTTGCCCAAAGTCAGATGTTGACAGTTGAACTGTCATTCACATTCTCTGGGTCTCCCCTTTCCACCACATTGCCTCCTGCAAGGTTCCATGGCTGCAGAGTGAAGAAAAGTAGTTGGTTCTATGGACAGATTGTTTCCTGATGTACGTACACACCCAGAACATGTGGCTTCAACCCATCTTATCAGCACAGACCCCATGGCCATGTTCATCTCTCAAACCAGAAGTTTATAAATATACTTCATTGATCTAGAGCCTGGGTGTCCAGTCTTCATTCACTCTCATTTATCACCCTCTCTGTGTCTCTCTTGACGTTTACTTTCACTTTAAAAACCTCGTCTTATAAGAACAGAGCCCTTTTTATCTGATACTAGCTCCCCCTCTGCTCCTGGGGTCTAATCAATCCATGTCTGGAAATAAACAAGCCAGAGAGGGAAGCACCAGTCCCTCTTACGAAAACAGGCACCTTTCTAAAATGATCTACCCCTGGGCACGGCACAGATAGAAATTTAAATGAGAAGGAAATAAAGACATCCTCCAGCCATAGTCCTATGCATTCCCTATCAGGCAGGACACCGGGGAAGGTAGCTCTGTGTTAACAGCTAACCCAAAGACTCGGCCCCACATTTTCCAGGTTGTTGGGAGGGGCGGGGGTCCAAACTCAAGAAGCCTGAAGAGACAGCAGGCTTCAACATATTCTAGTATATCTGGTTCAGCCTCCTCTGTTCTGAGGGGCTTAAGGTCTTCAGGAGAGTAAGAGAGGGCTCACTGAACACCAACTGCAGGTACATGCAAGCGGGCCTCCAGCTGCTACCAGGGGTGCTCAGAGATGCCAGTCTGAACGATCCAGACATCTGGCAACCAACACAAACCTTCGCCCGTCATGTTATTTTACACCCACCTGCAGAGCAGAGTCTCCACACCTCCCACCACCCCCCAGCTGCTGCAGCCTGCAGCCTCTGCCGGCAAGGGAAGCTGTCTCTGTATGTAGAGGGGCAGAACCAAGTCCTCACTAGCCAGCACCCCCTTCCTACCATGGCTCCTGGCCCCAGGCCTTCAGAAATAGGTCACATATCTAGATGCAAATGCAGAAGGCACCTCTTCTGATGAGGACAGCAGTTAATTCTTCATTCTTTGGGGGAGGCTTCTGAAAATCTGATGGCAGCACGGGACACCCCCACGAAAAGCTGCATGCGTGTAGTTTATATGTAATGTCACTGGGAGTTACTGCTCTCCAGGGAGGTGTAAAAAGGCAGAAAGGGCTAATGTGCTCAGAGCTGGCTTCAAGAAAGGGAGCTGTGGGTGGTTCACATAAGTAGTCAACGGCACACTTCTTAACCAAAAAGGGGGAAATGATGTCCCTTCCTTAGCTCCTGCAAGTTCCAGCCTTCAATTAACGTCTGAGATTTCAACAAGAATTTGAAAACTGAGAGCGCGCACGCACACACACACGCGCACACACACACACACACACCAAGGACTCATCTTTGTGGCTTTCTATCTTGACGTCATAAAATGTCCTGTGACTGCTAGTTAAGATAGTCTCCAAACGGGGCTTATCTTGGAAGGGCTGAGTACCAACAGAGGTAAGAAGTGTGGGAGAGGTGGACAATGCGATGGAGGACAGTCCAGACACGGAGAAAGGAACAGCTAAGTTCTCCACTGGCTCTGAGCAGATCCCGGCAGGGCAGGTCCTGACCCTTGCTGCCGGCTCCCCCTGGAAATCAGACCTGCTGACTCCTTTGCAGCAAACAAAAAGTCCAGACAGAAACAGTCCTTTCCTTCTGGGTCCATCCATGGCATGGGGAGGGCCAAGGCGGGAGTGTGGGGGAAGCATCCTCTCATTTCTAGAGAGGAGACCCTGGCCCACTGCTTGCCCATAGCCCCCTCGTGGCCTGGGGGTGTCACTGCAGCCCCCTCTGCATTGCTGGGCAAAAACCTCAGGCAGGCAGCTGTAACAGTGGTACAGCTGAGTGTTTAGTTACCAGTGGCGGCTTGGCAACAATCTTCAAGCCACGGCGAGGCTGCGTTTGCTTTTGGTTTCTTAAGCTGAGACCAAGACTCACACTCGAAGTGATCCTTCTAAACCCCTCCCTCCCACAATCCCTACAGGGAACAAGTCCAAGACCCACTTCATTAGGCCAATCGCCTCAGAGCTTCTGTAACATTACCACCACCCTATTGATCATTCCTTCCTGCATCACATGCTATTATGTACAACTGTTCCCAAGCTCAACAGAAATAGTTAGCAAGAATCCACAACACTTTCCGGCTTAATTATAAAATACTTTCAGGACACCAGATACACCCCCAAATCCTGGATTTCCAGGTAGCAGATCCTACAGGGGTTTAGGGAAAGTCAGGACTTACGGACACACAGTGAGAAAGAAAGTGGCTCTTGGCCCTGTGCAAGCAGAGAGGGTGTCCATTAACAAACCTAACTAGCAACTCCACAAAGGGACAGAGCCCACCTGGGCTGGGGACTTGACCGGAAGGACCAGAGTCTGGGAGTAGGGCAGAGTCGGTCCAGCGGTTCAGCTACTGTCAGTGATGGGGAGGATGAACTGAACCCAGCAGTGGGAAAGTGCCCACTAAGGAGAAAGTGGAAAGTTTGGGAGGAGAGAGGACGGTGCAGTGTGCCAGGAGGGCCTAAAGTAGTGAGTGGTCCAGGGACCAGAAGTGACTGGGGCCAGGGGAAACGGATGGAAGCACAGAGAGTCTTCCTTTTCCGAAGAAGGGGAGTCCTTACCTCCTTGATTTTCTCCCGCTGGGCTCGAACTAGGCTCTGGGGCTCCTTACTCTCATCCGCCCTAGTCCCCAGGACCGGGTGCCGGAGGCGGCTCTGGAACGCGTGGAAGTCAAAGCTAAACGGAATGCTCGGCTCCTGGGGTCTGAGGGCCGCGCTGCCGCTGCTCCGGGCCGCCGTGGCCATTTCGCGCGTCCCGGTGGGGTGGGTGCGCCGCAGCCACCCTTTCCGGCGCCGGGCATTGGCTTGGCTGCTGGCGTCTTCCTCACCCGGGGCTGGCACGGCGGGGGCCGGGTTGGGAGGCGACTCCTGCTCGCGGGCCAGGGGGTGGCCGGCGACTTCGGCCACCACCTCCAGGCCGGGCTGCTGGGTCCGGGGGGCCAGGAAGAGGCGCTTGAGGCGAGAGGAGTTGGGCAGCAGGAAAAGCGCCCCGAAGCACAGGGTGACGAGGCCCGAGAGGAAGAGAAGGAAGAGGAACTTCTGCGGCAGCCGCAGCCCCCACGGGGAGGCCGGGACGAAGACGGGCACTTTCCTCATGAGCATCGTGGCCTGGCGCGGG